TATAAGTGATTTTGCTACAGTTTTAGTTTGTCTTTCATATTATATGTATTGTCATGATATTAATAGCTAAAACATTTAAAGGAATTAAAAAATCTCCTGGGTTCTAGACTGGTCTTTACTGCTTAGTAACAGGCAACCTTTAGCAGGTTACCTACTTTTTCTCTTCAGGTCCCTGATTTCTCACATATAAAATAAGAATTAAAATTATGTTTAACAGAGTAGTTGTGAGGATTGAACAGAAGTTATTTGTATTTAGCACAATGCCTGAAATACATAAAACTGTTCATGAATTTCTTCTCATTTTTGGTTCCTAATAGAGCCTGTGTTGTGTTAAGTTTGCAAGGCACTATTAGTTTAGTTTAATCAGTTCTGTAGCTGTGATCTAAGGACATTTGTTTTTAACATTCTGTGTCCTACATGAGGGTGGATCTGAAAATGGAAGAGTAGAAGCATTGATCCCCCAATAGCTAATGATATCACATGGTTCCAGAGAAAAAAACGTGGTTGGACTACTATTTAATACCTCTCAAAACCAAACCAATTAGAAATAATGGTTAGTTGGAAATAATACGTTTACACTTGTTAGTATAATGGAAATTATTTATTTATTTATTTATTTTACTTTATTTATTCTAATTCATTATATATGACAGAAGAATGCAATTAAATTCATATTATATAAATAGAGCACCTAGGAATTATAAACCAGAGACCCTGCACATAATAGAAGAAAAAGTAGGCCCAAATCTCCAGCATGTTGGATTAGGCCCCAATTTCCTTAATAAGACACCTGAAGCACAAGAATTAAAATCTAGAATCAATAAATGGGATGAATTCAAACTGAAAAGCTTCTTCTCAGCAAAAGAAACAATGAGTGAAGTGAATAGAGAGTCTACACAATGGGAGCAAATTTTTACCACACGCACATCAGATAGAGCACTAATCTCTAGGGTATATAAAGAACTCAGAAATCTTAACACCAAAAAACTGAATAACTCAATCAATAAATGGGCCAAGCAACTGAACAGACACTTCTCAGAAGATGATACACAATCAATCAACAATATATGAAAAAAAATGTTCAACATCTCTAGCAATTAGGGAATGATTTTTTTTATAGTTAACAAAATTTAAATGCAACATAAATATTTGAGAGCTAAGAACCATTCAGGAAAAACACTAACATGTCCCGAAATAAAAATGGTAGCTTACAGCCAACTTTAGGTAAATTAAATAATGTCAAAAAAAAGAAAGCACAGTTTAGTTTTCTGTCATTGTCACCCAACGGAGAAGAGTTTAAGTTTTTCAAAAGTTAACTTTAGATCGTTAAAAAATTTTAATTCTTATTTTATTATGGTAAGAACACTTAAAAAGATTCACTTTCTTAACAGATTTATAAGTGTACAACACAACATTGTTATTATAGGCACAATATTGCTCAGAAGATCTTTAGAACTTATTCATCTTACATAAGTGAAACTTGTTGCAGATTCAGCAGCAGTTCCTCACTGCCCCACCTTCCAGCCCCTGGCAAACCGGTCTACATTCTGTTTCTGTCATTGTGACTATTTTAGGTATTTTATATAAGTGGAAGCATGCAGTATCTGTCCTTCTGTGACTAGCTTATTTCACTTAATATAATGTCCTCAGGTCCCATATTACAGTGTTTCCTCCTCTTCCTTTTTTTTTTCCTTTTTAAAATAAAGGCTAAATAATATTTCATTGTGGTTATATTTTCATTATTCATCTGTCAGTGGTCATTTAGGTTATTTTTACATCTTGGCTATTGCAGATCATGCAGCTGTGAACATGGGAGTATTCTATGTCTCTTCAAGATATAGAATGTTTTAAATAATTTTTTTTAAAGATCTAAATTGAGGCTGGGGATATAGCTCAGTTGATAGAGTGCTTCCCTCACATGCATAGGCCCTGGGTTTAAATAAATCTAAAATTGCTTTGTTATCACAATCCAAATTATTTTAAGTAGAATGCTCCTTTATGTCAATGAGATATACTAATTGTAATTTGTTTTTTCTAAGTGGTCCCAATATCACCATTGTTTTTATCAATTATGTTTTCAGAGGCACAGACAGTTTTCAGCCCAGCTATTAGAGTTGCTATTGATTGTTGGATTTTAACTTTTATTTTTAAGTTAAAAATATTATAGTCTTTAACAAAAAGCACTTGAGAATGCCATCAGAAATAGAAGTACATATGGAATGAGCTATTGATTGCCGATGGCTCTTTTGACATGATAATAATCTAAAGTTATAAGTTGAAATATTTTTATGATATACTATGAATGAGCTCATTGCTCTTCATCAGTATTATAATCATAACATCTTCAAAGTCTAGTTCAGATACCTCCTTCTCCATGAGGTCAGCCTTCATCCTCAAAGCCATAAGTAACCCCTTCCTCCTCTGAATTCCAATAGCATTGTGTATGCTTCTCTTTGTATTTTTAAGTTGAACCTTGGAATAAAATTATTTCTTTTATTTTCCCAAATAAATTTATAAATGCCTTAGGGCACAAACTGTTAAACATTTAGATAAACACAGCAGATTGTTGTTAATATTTAGTTATTGAAATCTACTTTATCCAAAGTACTGTGCCTTACAATATGCAAACATAAGTATTACACAGCTCTTGTCCTTCTCATTTTATTCCTCATGGTGCCTAGTCTCCTTTTCCCTTATGTTCTGTGATGCCCCTTTATTTTCTTCCTACTTCTCTTGCCACTGCTTCACAGGTTGTCTCTTCTGACAGACTTCTGAATAATGAAAGTGTTTGGGCTTGTTTCTAAGCTCTCTTCTTTTATAGTATATACTCTGTCTAGATGATCTCATTTATTCTCATGCTTCTGAAATACCATCTCAATGCCAGTGAATCTTGATTTTATGTCTTTAGTTCAGGTGTTTCTTCTGAACATCAAGTCTTACACATTCCACCGCCCCCCATTTTGGATGGGGGATACTAGGGACTGAACCTAGGGGCACTTAACCACTGACCCATATTCTCAGTCCTATTTTCTTTTCCTTTTTTTTTTTTAAATTTTGAGACAGGGTCCTTGCTAAATCACTGAGGCTGACTTAGAACTTGCAATCTTTCTACCTTAGCCTCCTAAGTTGCTCGATTACAGGCATGGGCCACTGTGCCCAGTTCTAATTGCCTTTGAAGTCTCTTCAGATTTGGTTCCACTCCAGGAAAGCACCTTTCATCCACTCAGTCGCCAAGCCAGAATCTTTTTTTTTTTTTTTAATATTTTATTTATTTTTTTATTTCTCGGCGGACACAACATCTTTGTTTGTATGTGGTGCTGAGGATCGAACCCGGGCCGCACGCATGCCAGGCGAGCGCGCTACCGCTTGAGCCACATCCCCAGCCCCAAGCCAGAATCTTGAACATGATCTTTGATAATTCTTTTTCTGTCACCTGCCACCACAAGTCCATTACCAAGTCCTATTGATTTCTGCCTCCTCTGGATTTGTCTTTCTGTGGTTCTACCCCACACACCAACCCATAGTGCAGGTATCGTGGCCCCTTTTGGCCCCTAGTCCAATCTCCACAGATGACATTTTAAAATACAGTGATCATTTAAAAATCATTAAGCAGACCATGCTTTAAAATCCCTCATTGTTCTTAGGATAAGATTTTGAAATATTCAACATGCTTCAAGTTATATATAATGAGGCCTTCTACAGTCCCATCTCATGCTACCCCTTCCTTCTATAATCCAGCAACTATAACATTCTTTAAATTCCAGAGATTTGCTGAGTCCTCTTCTCCACCAAGTGAACCCTGTTAACCTTCCCTCTCAACTTAAACATCATTTCCAGAACAGGCTTTATCCAATCCCATGGATTTAGGTTCATTTCTTATGTATCTTGATGTATCTGAACTTTTCCAGCATAGCATCTCTAGTAATTTGTAATATTTATTTTGTTGTGCAATTATTTGCTTACTATCTGGCTCGTCCATGGTTCTATAAGGTCCCTGAGGGCAGGGACCATGTCTGCTTTGTTCATATGCCAAGCCCAGGACCTGATACATAGTGGAGAGTCAATAAATTTATGTATTGAGTGAAATAAATTGAAAATAAAAGTTCAAAACACATTAGAATACTTTGCAATAGAATGTGTTTACAACTTACAGCTATAAGTTAATATATGGTAATGAGTTTCTGACCCTTGTATGAAGACTTTTGTTCATGACTAAACTGGGCGTGTGCTATTTTTCTAATTCATCAAATTTTAGTATTGTTATTGCCAAAGAATATATTTGACAACAGGAACTTTTTTTTTGTCAGTGTGACAGCAGTATTTATTGATCCCCTACTGTTTGCCTGGTGCTATTTTAAACGCTTAAGATATAGCTGGTGTGATCCAGCTTACTTTCCCATGAAGGACAAAAACCAAATAAGTACACAGAAAATTTTAGCTATTGAAAAATACTCTGAAATAAATAAGAGTGATGGCATGTCTACGATGGTTATTGAAATCCTAATGAAAAGGTAGTGTTTGAACTAAATTTGATGTGGCAAGATGGAGTCAGCCATTAGAAGCCTGAGGCAGAGCCTTCTAGGCAGAGAGGATGGCACCCACAGGAGCACTGCTGGGGACGTTTGAGAAGCAGAGTGGCCAGTGGTTCCCAAGTATAGGGAATGAAGGAAATGAAGGGAAGGGAATGCTAAAAGTTGGAGATCTTGTTGCTTAAAGTTCTGAGTCTGTCACTTATTGGCTCTGTACCACAAATCAAAGACCATTATAATGCCTAGCGCATTGGAATGTTGCTTATTGATAATGACAGTGAAGCAGTAATTCTATACATCATTGACAATTCCTTCCATAGAATTTATGTGCAGGAAAAACTGGGAAAGTGAATGTTACTTAAAATAATGACCCTGTGTTTAATAGTTTACTAATTTATTATCTTTAAAAATAAATGTGCTATGTTGCTAATTATTTGTGAACATGAATATTTACATGGATTTCTCACAAAGGTAAAAAAGCTGAAGAGAGAACTCTCACAAATGAAGCAAGAACTGCTCTATAAAGAACAAGGCTTTGAAACATTGCAACAGTGAGTATAAAAAATACTGAAATTGACTTTACAATAATTCAAACTCCCTAACTAATACAAAGAAAATAGAAGTAGAGATTACTTAAAGAGATTTCTCAAGGAAACAAAGTAAAATGCTCAGAGCTCTGTACCAGAAATACAAAAAAACCGATCAACTAACAACAAAAAACTTGGGAAAAATCTATACACTTTGAAAACGTCTGAAGTTTTTATTAATCATTGGAAATACAAAAAACCAAAGTGAAACTTAACTTTGTCTCCTGGACCCCTGCCAGCCTCCAAGATAAGAAAATAAGCACGGAAAGTACCTTTTAATATTCTGTACTAGAGACTAAACTGGGTGGGCCCTACTTGATTCCCTCTGAGCCTGCAGCTGCCCTGACTGCTCTTGGAGGCATCTCCATTCCTCTCTGTCAGTCCCACAGATGACCTAGAGTCTAACCCTAATTGGTAGCAAGGGAGCAAGAACAAGTTAGGTTTCTTCAAAGAGCTCAAAGTTGCTCATTTCCTGCTTCCTTCTGTCCTTTCCATTTCAATTCTGAAATCTGATGGGCCTTCAGAACAGTTTTAGAATGGGTCAGATTAAAAGAAAATGTTGATAGGAAGGATAGCAAGTTCTAGAAATCCCCACCCCATTACCAGGCACGCCTGAGGTGGTCTGTCTTCCCTCTGCCCCATCCCAGCAGTCTCTCATGAAAGGAAAAATACCTGAAAGACATTGAGCTACTTTCCATGTCTCCCCTGCATGGCACAGGTTTGATGCCACCAGTTGTGGTACCATAGTTCTAGGTATTTTCCTGGTCAAGCTCATGTTCCAGCAGGTTTCATGTTCTTCCAGACATCTCCTTCAGCAGAACCTTGGGAATGCAAAGCTGCTGTCAGGAGCCATCTCTGTGGAAAGTACTCACCTCTGTTCCTTTTGACTGAATTCCTATTCTGCTTTCTGCTTTTAGGAAATTTGGGACAGTCCAGGACAGCAAGGCATTACCCTCATCAAAGATCACATGTGTTACTAGCCAGACAAACACACGCTGATTGTTCTATATGTTTGGCGAGTTGTATCTTGGGATGCCCCATCACTACTCTTGGTCACCAGCTGGGCACATGACTTTAGTTTGAGAATTAGGTTTTATGGCTTTTGTTGCCCACTTGCCTCATAAAGTCATGATACTGGTATTCATTCAGATGCTTCTGTTCTAGTGTTTCTCAGACCTGATTGCATATTAGAATAATTTGGGGAGCTCTTAAGAAATACTTGTTTTTACCTCCACCCCAGGAATACTTTGTGAGATCTCAAAATATGAGTGGTTCTCTAGGATAGCCATGTTCTAGGGACCTCTGTTGGCTGCAGAGCTCCCCTAAAAACCCAGAAGATCTAGAATGACATAAATGTGTTATCTAGTAGTTGTGTATCAACATAAAGCAGGACTTTGTGGTACAGTGAGAAAACAAACTTTGAAGAATGCCACAAAATGTTTAGGTATATGTTAAACATTTTTAGGACATGAAATTATAACTCACATCACCACTCAGGATTAAAGGTTAGCCAAACTTGCTGTTTTTGTTATATTGATGTGACAATGCTGTATTGTTTCAAAGCAGTTTGCTTGCAAGCAATTTTTATAGGAATCTAAGGCATGTTTAAGAATCTGTCAATAACATTCCACAAGAAAACAATAGACATTTGTTGTAGAAAATCAGGCATTCTTTGGAATGATTCTAATCCCTTGAACCAAGAGCAGAAAGATATGATATCTAACATCAGAGACCTCTTCTGTTGATGTTAACTATAGACATAATAAAGCTGTTTTCATTCAAATATTAACCATTATACTACTAAAACATTGAATGATAATTGTTTGAACTGAGGCTTAACTTTTTAAGAAACCACATTCCTGATTCTTAGAAAGGGACTTTTTTTGTGTGACTGTGACAGAAGATACATTTCAGGAAAAGATTTTCATTTTAGGCTTTTGTAATTTTTCACTTATTCACAATAAATGGAATATTTTTGCTAAATTTGGAATTAGAATGTAAACTTGAGCTTTCATTTTATTTGTAACAATAGTTTTATGCTGGGTGAATAAGTATTTGTTTTATTCTGCATGTTACTTATTCATTTTGTAGCCTCAAATTTGACTTAGGCAATGTAGCTTATGTGTAGAAAGATACCAGGAAGATGCATATATTTTGCTATCTACAGTGTGCATTCAGAATTCAAAAATGGGAAGTGATGAAGCACTCAGCAAGCAAAAAGCATATATAGATTCTATAACAATTTGCCTCTGAGAGTATATTCATTTTCCAGAAAAGGCTTGGAAAGGAAACTCTCTTCTGTCGCAGAAAAGACTCAGATATAGAGTAAAAATTAGTTTTACATACAAACCAATGCTTAAAAAAAAAAAGGTTCTTCTCAAATTAAGAACAAAAGAGCATAGCATTTTGTGTTAAGATCCAGCAAAGGGCTAGGGGTGTAGCTTAGTGGTAGAGTACTTGCCTAACTTGTATAAGATCATGGATTTAGCCCCCAGCACTGCAAAAGGAAAGGAAGAGGGGAAAAATAAAAAGGCCAACAAGCCATGCTCATATTTATTTTACTTTATAGTCAGGTCAAAGAAAGAAAAGGTGGAAAATGAAAAGTAGAGGAGAAAAAAAAGAAAAGCATGGAAATAAAGGGACATTTGAAGTAAAATAGAGAGGTTCAAAGGAGACAAAAGAAAGGGAGAGGAAGACCAACGGCTCCATTGGGGATGCCAAATGAAATAGCTTATTCTTCACGTTTACCAATCTGGAGCAGTTAGACAACCAAGAAATTTTCATCTTTTTAAGTATCTCAGAAATTTAAATTAGCACTCTGAACTAGTTCTGCTTTTATTCCTAAACTATAGTTTATTTCTACAAACAGCTAACCTGCTTTTATTTTCAAATGATGAAATTTATTTCTCAAATATATTACCATTATATTTGAATGATTTATATAAGTAGGAAGAAATTACTTGGGCTTTGGAAATTCACCTTGATAGTTTCAGATAACGTATTTCTAGCTTTTTCATGAAATCTCAAAAGTTTCTGGGTTTTGTTTATTTTTAGTTTAAAAAGTACTATGCTTGAAATTTTATTTTATTTAATATCTTTTGCCTCATCTAAGTTGATGGACATTATTATACTTAGAGGAGCCAAAAATTTCACTGATACACCCCAACCCGAGTAAATGGAATTAACTAATATTTAAAATACTTTACCGTTCTCATAAATATTCTAGATGTAATAATCATAAGAGCCTCAAGCTAGTGTTTGTCCTTTCAGGATAGCTGCCCTACAAGCTAAGTGTTTATTCAGTTTAGGGGCTAATTTACACAAATTTTCTGGTTTCAGTTTCTTCATTTGGTATGTGTGACAAGGGTATTTCTAGGGTCCCTTCCCATCCTAAACACCTTGTGTGAATTTGTGTGTTAAATTCTGTAACTTCATTTATTGTATTTTATTATGAAATGACTTCATGATCAAGTTTATTTTATTAGATTTTTAAAGACTTCAATTGCTTGTTCAGTATCATAAAATATTTACTAAAATAGGAGTTAGAGAAATATGCTATCTATAAACTGCTTTTGTTTGAATAAACTTTGTTTGGCAGAGTAATTAAGATGAGGTTTTTTTTTTTTTCAGATTATACCGTTCACATTGAAAGTACATATTAATGATGAAATATTCTAAACCAAATGAGCCCAGAATCCATTTTCTCTGATTTAGTAGGTGCTGTTTTTCTGGAGAGTCCATGAGTAAATCCAAGAGCATGTTTTTGAGAACATGTATAGTAGACCTGATGGCTGATGGGGTAAAGGCATAGACCCACAAATAAAACTCAAGTTGTATTTTTAACAAATCCAGGACGGCATTGTAGCTGGGGCAGAACCAGAAGGATGGTCATAAAGAGAATGTTCAACTATTCTTGATGAGAACTGGGTACTTTGGTTGTGCCCTTCAAACACAAAAAAATTAGGTTACATGAAATCCTCTAGCCCAGGATGATGATCATGTAGGCTGTAAGACACTTGGTGGTAAGCAGATCTGCAGGCATAACAAATTAGCTCATTAAAGAGCTGTTTATTCAATATGAGTTGACAAATGAACATATCTACCCTTCTGTCTTATTCCTAAATTTGAATTCATTCAGCAAAGCAAACAGTTTTTGGTAAAAATAGAATAGATACTTTTTATGTAAATCCAAATATTGTAGGATACTCACTAGTATAAATAAGTATTTATTAAAGGCCTTCCACACTGCTGACACTGTGCTAGGTTTCATATAGATATTATGGTATGTAATTTAGGTGGCTATTTATTGGTGTTTCTTTCTTCTGCTGTGACGCATACCTCTGTCCTTTACCCTCAGGGTGGAGATCAGGATCAGTGTTTGATGAGGATAGGGTTTAGCTAGCAGTTGGATCATCCAAACAGACTGCAAATAAAAACACATGCATTGTTTGAGCCCCCAAATACTTAGAAATGGACTAGATATGAGGTGGGGGATGGGAGAAATCTTAATTGAACACGATTAAAAGGAATGGAAGAGACACAATCAACTTGAAAAGATGGTTCTATTGTATCAGAGTCCTGAAGTAAAATTGCTAGCCAACCAAGATCATCCAAAACTGGCTCCTACTGTTCATTTAACATGTACCATGTCATTTGAATTTTTTCTTTTCTTTGTATTCCTTTTCCCCCTCCCTTTTAACAGAATCGATAAAAAAATGTCTGGAGGCCAAAGTGGGTATGAACTTAGTGAAGCCAAAGCCATTCTAACTGAACTGAAATCTATCAGAAAGGCAATTAGCTCAGGAGAAAAAGAAAAACAAGATCTGATGCAGGTATGTTATACCAATTTAAGTCAATCTGTACCTTCTGAGTAATTCAGCAAGGCAGAGTCTGGATGACCATCCATCACCTCCATCCCATTTGTACTGAATGGGGGCCCTGTGGGAGGTTTTGCAGATCTGAGGCAGCCTAGTTGCTGTGGAGGAAAACAGGTTGTTTCTAAACTACTTATATGCTTAATTGAAGTCAGGTCCTGAATATCCTTTGAGACAGTGGGTAGTGGAACCCAGAGCTCATTTAAGAAAATTAGCACCCTGAAACAAAATTTCATGTGAGACCCAAATGAGCAAAATTCTCTGAACCAATGATCCTTAGTCGGGATACATAGGGTATGTCACCTGTCATGCCTTTTGAGGTGGGGCTGTGTGAGTAGCTTAGAATAACTTCTTTTCAACCCAGGATTTGGTGGGGGATATTGTCCCATCTAGGGGATACCAATATAGTTACCCTAGGAAAGCTGCTATTAGTAGAAAATCCTCTTGTTGTTTCTGTATAGTTGAAAACTCATTGTGTAGAAAAAAGAAAACAGTCATTCAGTGATCAATATTCTAAGTGCTTACTAGGTATGGTCAAGTTTTTCTCTAAGGATTTCTCTCTTCCTCCTCTTCTTTTCCCTCCATCCCATAATTATCACAAACACTAAGAACTTTTGGAGTTCTTCACCTAGCCAAGAAAGAATTTAGTCTGTGTCTTTCGAAAAATGTTAAGAGTCAGTGGTGGTACTTGCATTCTTTACAGAGCCTCTCTATTTAAATACTACAGTCTACATCATTTTGGTTTTTAAAGTGTTAGTGGAATATATATAAATATTCTTGGATCCCTATGATTTTGCATTTCAGGAATTTTGAAATAACTTGCAAGAGATCTAATAAAAAAGATAATGGTGATAATGACAAATACTTAAAAATACTGTATATTTTATATATATATATATATATATATATATATATATATATATATATATATATATATATCCTGTATACCCTTCTAATTGCCTTGCGTGTAAATAATTCACTTAATCTTTACAACAACTCCTGAAGATATTATTATCCTCAGCTTATAGACAAGGAAATTGGAGCACAGAAAAATGAAATAAGTTATTTAAAGTCATATAACTGGTAAGTAGCAGGACTGGAGTTCTGAGCAGTATTGCCCAGAATATGTGATTTCAAAACACATATAATATACAAGACTTGACTTGTTTATATTTTGTTTTTGTTCCATAATTATGCTACTGATTAAATCAGTAGCTTTGGAAATATGTACCGTGGTTCCTTTTTTAAAAAGAAGTTAATGGAGCTTGAAGAAATTTACATTGGAACCTTATAACTGAACAATTTTAGGTCATCTTTGAATTTTTTTTCTGTCAACTTTGGATTCATAGACCAGATTAAATAAAAGAATTAAATTCTTTCAATTGCTAAAGAATATAAAATAATTCATTAGTAGATACAGAGATCAACAATAGAGCTGAAAAGGATATTAGATATCTTCTGTGACTTTCAAATTCTGTGAGTACAGTAAGAAATATGTTTTACATCAAAACCTAATGACATACAAGGGAGTGTACCTATCGCTACAGACATGTTCACACTTAAGACAAATTTCACAGAAATATGCCTGCTCTTAGTACTGGTGATGTACTCTGACTTTATTTTCTATTATCTTTTGTTTTGACTAAAAAACATTAGTCACACCCTAGTGATTGTGACTATGTTGATTGAGTGTATTGTTATTACAGATAAGATTGAAAAACACTAATGTTTTCAGTTTACAGATGGAAAAATAGGAAAGATTTGCCCAAGATGGACAGTTTCTTTGTTCTTTTCTCTAATGTATTATTTGATGGGTCCATGTAAGTTCTATTCCTCTTAAATATATGTTTTATATAAATATCCCTTGGAAAGCAAATTGAAAAAGTTAAGAACCAGATCTCCAATATTTCTGTCCTTATGAAAATTTTTATATCAGGATTAAATGCTGGCTCTTAAAGTTGATAATAGTGGTTTTAACCATTTTTATTAGTATTGCTGTAGGTTTTTAGAAAAGCAGATTAAATAATATTTTTCTTTTTAGTACTTTTACTTGTATATATCCTCCCTCTAAAGTAAACCCAGTATGTTAGAACTGAATGAGCACCAATAGCAGGCACATTCACTTTTGGTTATTCACTTTAGTAAACCAACCTTTACCACCATGGACAGTGTCATGAGTGGACACATAGATGGACTCAGCTTAGGGCTGGGCCACTCCTTAGCAACTTTGAGGCCTCAGTTTTCTAATTTCTAACATTAATGTAAGCTGAATAATCTCTTGAGTCCTTTCCAGATGTAAAATGACATAATTGTAGAAGTCTTCTAAGACAGAAGTTATCTTAATATATCTAAAATGAAAGATTGTATTGTAAATATTTTGTTTCCATGATTTCTGTTACTTAGAGTGAGTGATTCTGTATAAGTTTGTTTACTATTGCTGTAAGCAACTGGGTACTTTATAAGGAAAAAAGACTTATTTAGCTCACAGTTTCGAGCTGAAAATCCAAGATTATATGGCCCCATCAGGTAAAGGCCTCATTGCAGGAGGACCTCATGTCAGGAAGAAGAGATCATCTGACAAGATCAGGAATCAGATTCAGGGAGCAGACATTATCCTTTTACAATCCATCCTTTTGGGGACTAACAAGGGTACCTCAAGAACTATATTAATCTCTTATGATGGGGCTGGGGTTGTGGCTTAGCAATAGAGCACTTGCCTAGCCAAATGCAAGGTGCTGGGTTTGATTCTCAGTATCACATAAAATAAAGGTATTATGTCCAACTACAACTAAAAAACAACAACAACAAACATTTAAATAAATAGATGATACTCCCAGTGACTAAATACTTTGCACTGGCCCCACCTCTTAAAGGTTTCTCTGCTTCTGAACATTGTCCCACTGAGGCCCAAGCTTCTAGTATATGAGCTTTTGCGGGGCACACTGAAACCATATCCAAATGATAGCAAGTTCCTATTGAAATTAAGACTTCTAAATAAAGTTTAAGCATAGAAATGCATTTGTTAGATGTAGAGATACTATTATTCACAGGAAAATGCTGTCATAGGAAAAGTAAGACAATCTGTTTGGTATCTGTTCACATATTTCCAAAGTGGTGTGTGTGTGTGTGTGTGTGTGTGTGTGTGTGTACACAAAATTATATTTTAATCTTATTTTTAAAATAATAAAAAGCGGTTAAAGGACCGAAAATAAAGTAATTTTTTTTCTTTCCACTGACATTAGCTCTCTCCATTTAATTTTACCTGGTAAGAAAGGGTTGCCTTCTTACATGTTAAGCTTTATGAAATACTTTGTGTTTCTTGGACAGAGTCTTGCTAAGCTGCAGGAGCGGTTTCATTTGGATCAGAACATTGGCAGATCTGAGCCAGATTTGAGATCAAGTCCTATGAATTCTCATTTATCTCTCTCCAGACAGACCCTTGATGCCGGGTCACAAACAAGCATTTCTGGAGATGTAAGTTATCCGTGTCGTTGGTTGTCCCAGTATCATTCTTGATGGACCTTAATAACAAGTATAGATGGTGAATTGGAGCAGGAGCTAGACATGTGGTTTACATTCCAACTGAGTACATTCAGCATTTCATTCTTCTAAGATTGGTTTTAAAAATTGCTGTCTTTTCTCTCAAGGTGTCAAGCATATCAAGATTTGCTCATATGAGTAGCTTTGTTCAAACTTTTTCAGACTATATTTCTTTAGTGACACTGTTGAAAGCCTAGAGATACATGAAAATTGAACTTTTTCCTAGTAAATTTGGAGACTTGAAAATTTAGGTCATTTCAAATGAACATTAAGGTCAATGAAAAATAGAACTATATACCTTGAAAACTTGTTTTTATAAATTGGAAGTTGATTACCTTAAAGTATTTAATATATGATTTATAGCTGACTTTGGAAATGTTTAATGTGGCTTGAATATTATTATATTATTAACTACTTTGCATTTTCACTTTTAGAATGCCATTAATAGGTATTTACTTTTCTATAAATTGCCAGTTATTTTTGTATTCCCTTATACTTCTTTAAAGTATGTGCTATGAAAGTTAAATAAGTAGATATCAACAGCAGGACTTAACCCGTTTAAAAATTAATTTTTGAGGTTATTTAGTTTGTATTTTTTATAGTTGAAAGCTAAATGATGGAAATTTTGGCTCATAAAGGAAAAGAAATCAGTTCCAGTTCATAAATTTTATTGACTCATATACTTTCATAAACTCTTAAGATACCAGACACATTTACCTGACATTTTTGTCTTGAATTTAATGTGTGGAGAAAGTGAATGTGAAAGTCTTTGAAAAACAAACAGGCTTGAATTGAAAGAAATGTTTGCCCCTACTGAGAATATAAAGTAAGTACCTTTTTAAACTGGTGCTTTCCCATTTTGGTACCATTTTCTGGAGCTTTTCAATTATTTGTACTTCCTAAGAACAAAAGCAGTTTTCTTCATTCATTAGCAGAGTTAATTGACTTTTTTCTTTTTGTTTTACTAGATTGGAGTGAGAAGTAGATCGAATTTAGCTGAAAAGGTCAGGCTAAGCCTACAGTATGAAGAAGCCAAAAGAAGGTAAGGACGGGGAGCAAATTTTTTTTATGGTTGATGGGCCCAAACATCATTTTCTTTTCCAGAATTAACCTTTAATCTTTACTCCTATGGTGACATCTGCTGGGTACTCCCCACATACTCTTGCCAGGGTTATATCCTTAGTTATTAGCGTCTTAAGGGTTGCTTTCCCTCTCCTCTCTCTCCTCCCTTTCCCCCTTCCCTCATAGGTGAAGAATAAGGAGAATTAATGAAAAGTGTGGGAGTAAAATTGTCCCCTTCTCTTCTGGAAAAAGAAGCTTTGAACTTCTTTAAGACTTTGGATTGAAAGTGAAAGTTTGGCTCCTGGGTTGGAAACATGATACAGTGGCTTAGGCACAATATTTGACAGATGCTGAGGAGATCTGAGGTGGACACCTTTGAGCATGGTCCTCTGCTTTGAAGGGAAACCTTACTGCTAATGTCATTGAAGGTGCTGAGGTGTTTGTTCCAGCTGATTTATGTCAGAGAGAAGGAGGAGATACTCTTATTTCTCTCCTCTACCTTATAAACTCTTAATAACTCCTGTGCTTTCTTTTTCTTACTTTTGTGACTCTTCTGGGGTGAGATGCAGAGGAGACCTCACTGTCCTTATCTAGTAGAGAGTCAAATGTTTAAAAAATATAGCATACCTTATTTGTTTGGAGGGAGATCATACTGAGTTGATTTCATATTTTCCTTTTAAGAGCTTAAAAATGCTATTGGCTTATTATTTAGGAGACATTGGGAAAAGCTGCATTGTTACCATGCAGGAGACAAAGTAATTCATCATGTTCCTTCCATGAGCATGAAAAACTCCACTGAGAACCTGCTAGGGTATCATGGTTTCCTACCATGAGGAAAACCCATCTGATATTGAAGTATGCCCACAATTACTGATGATGATGAAAATTTTAAAGTAATTAACCATAGTTCTTACAGGTTATCTGGATTTAAATAGGTAAAATAAGTGCAACATTTAGTTTACTGCCTGTAACCTGTGTTTCTGATATCACTTGGTTTGTCAGTTTCCTGAAAAGAAACCTAAGCTTCATTCTCCAATTATTAACCATGGGAGCTTGAGCAAATCACCAAGTCCTTCTGAATAGCAGTTTACTTAGCTAACGTTAATGCCTTTAAATTTTCCTCAGTAAAGTTTAAATGTCTTGAAGGTAAGAAAAAATGTTATACTTTATTACCTCCTTCTCAGGGTCTAGACTAGGGCCTTGGCATCAGTAAGCATTCGGAAAAGCTGATTTGCAGTTGGGGCCTATGGTGGATGCTGCCATGATCCTCTTGCTGTGTGTAGGTCAGCCCTTTAGCCAGCAGAACTCTTTGGTTCTGATGTGAACAAAGCCCAGAAAGTGTGTCTGGTTTTCTGAAGGAGAATGGCTATAACTCAAAACTAATCTTGGAGAACAAGTCCTTATCTCCCCGTGGGTTCTTACAGGCTTGACTCTGCTTCCTTTGGATCAGCTTGGGCTATTTTTTTTTACTGTGACTGCTAATAGTTAATTCCATCTGGAGCTTACACAGCACTTCTCTTCCTAGGTGCTCCTGGAAGTCTTCTTCATATTCCATTCCCCAGATTTGGTACATACTTTCTAAAATAAAATGGGAGATCTCCCTAATGTCTGATCACGTTATAAATAGGAACCTTTCTTTACTCCCTCACATTGTTGCTCCCAGCTCAATTGGTTAATTCAGTCACACCAAACCTTAAGACATTGGTTCTTTACCATTTGGTTGCATTGCTGTACTATTTGGGGGTTTGTTTTAAAGTTACTAGTGGTGTTGATGAGAATGTATCTCTCAAGCGTTTATGCATATGTTGAAAATGCATTTTCCTCCTCAATTCTGAATAAGTAAAGAGATGGGTTATTTTTTCTCTGAAACCTGTTTTTCTCCTGCAGCCTTTGTTTTATGTGCTTAATGAAGCTAATAACATCATGCTTATTTAGCATTTTGATGGTTAATTTTCTAGTACGTTGAGACAGTTTATGGTTTTGTGATTAAAGCTGAAGAATAGCTGATGGTACATCTATCATAAGTGCAGACGGTGGGTGAAATCAGAAGTACACTACTTCTGCAGTGGCAGTCTCAGAATGCAATTTTATTTCTAACTAAAACAAGAAACTTATGGCACAAAGATGTGGATTTATTTTCATCTTTGTTCTTGATTATGTTTTTTTGTTATTTTTTTTTTCATTCCTTTTACAATTTTTTGCATTGAAAAAGGAAAAAATCTCCCTTTTCTGTTTTCCATATTCTGGTGTGAATGTCTGAAGCAATCATCCAACCTTTTTTTTTTTTTTAATAGTCACAGATTCCTTGTGCAAACCTCAGTTGTATTCATAGTTTACCTGGATCTTAGGCTTTGGGGGCAGAAGAGCCATGTTGCTATTCATCTTGTAAAAAGTCCTGATTGTCTTCACAGTGCTGCAGAGCAAATATTCAATTCAGGTTGTCAAGACATTCATATTGAAAATGAATTGTTAACTTCATCATTAATTGGGGAGCTCTGGGCACAGTGAACTTTGAAATTACTCAGTTTGTTTTTGGTGCTTTTTGTTCTCTCCCCGCATTCCTGTTTCCCTCACTTCAGCACCTTTTGACACTCCAGTGGTGCCACACCAGCTTCCTGTGCTGGTGACGGTCCACTGTGTACTCCTGAACAGCCAAATAAATGTACAGAGGAACTTAAATCCAATGCAGTAGTGGATATAAGGTGCTGGTGCAGTGCTTGCTCAATAAGTGGTACATACACCAGTCAGAGCCCTACGGAGAGGAGACTTCACAGCAGGAAGCTTAAGGAGAATGTGGGCCTACTCCCTTAACCTTGGGGGGAGACTTGATGGAACTGACTTTGTTCTAAAATGAGTCGGCCAAACTACTGTTCTCTTTTCTCCACACTTTCCCTGACCTCCTTATACCCTAGTCTTCGCCAACCTGTTCTGGAGATTACCATTTTACTGGAAAAGATGCTATAGACAGTATTGCTACCCAGAGGAGCAAAAGTCTACAAAAATGGCATTTGGGGCATCATTGCAGTGCCAACCTCAGTTTTGTTTTGTTTTTAAAGAGAAGCCTCCAGGTTCCTCTCCTGTCACACCACACACACACACAAATATCAGGGCAGCCTGCCCTTGGCCCCCAGAGTACTTTCCTTTTGAAGTGTCTGTGTACTTGTCTTTCATGCTGTTGTCAGATAGGGAGATGTGCTCACTCACATTATAAAGATGGGGGATGAAGCAGAGGACAGCTGAGTGTGAAGTCAGGCCTAAGCCTGGAGTACAGAACTGCTGCCTGCTTTCTGGTAAGCTCCAGTTGGGAAGGTCTGGATGGCAGTTCCACCCCAGACTTAGCTGGTTGTGTTTGCCTTTCTCAGGAGTCCTAAACATGTGCATGTTTCTTCTCTTTATTTTAGTATGGCCAACTTAAAAATTGAACTGTCAAAGTTGGACAGTGAGGCTTGGCCAGGGATGCTAGATATTGAGAAGGAGAAGTTGATGCTGATTAATGAAAAAGAAGAACTTTTGAAGGAACTGCAGTTCGTCACTCCGCAAAAACGCACACAAGATGAATTGGAACATCTGGAAGCTGAAAGGCAGAGACTAGAGGAAGAGCTGCTGTCCGTGCGGGGTGCACCGAGCCGGGCTCTGGCTGAGAGGTGTGTTTTCCTACTGAGAAGAGAGCAACTACAACGTGGCTGAATCTTAACTGATGACATTTTCCCTGGGTTTGGAAATCTCAGTTTTATCTGTTCTTATTGGACAGAGAATGGTACAATAGAACTTTCTTTCTGTAGAGCGATAAAGCACACCAACCTAATGCCCCTCAGCATCCATTACTCTACATCTGTTAGGACTGAAAATGCCTGTGACTGATGTTGAATAACTAAGGAATGTTGACATAAAACCATGAATATAGTCCATCACTGACTGAGTCTGATAATGGTAGCTGTAAACTATTGCACTCTGATAAGAAAGATGATCTAGATTGTTACAGTGACTGAAGCTTCCTATTCTAGGTTTTATTACTTGTAAGAATGCAAAATTTTATTGCCTTTAATTTCACAAGGAAAAGAAGAGACAATTTACTCCCTTTGGTATCCTAATAGTTTACAAAATGTTGCTTGGATTTTGCTTGTAAGTTGAAACCCTCCTCTGAAACAGCTGAAATATAAAGGAAAATATTCTAAGAAGTTTTCTAATATTTCTATGGGAAAGTGTGAGTTGATTATTTAATCTAAAAACTCAGTTCTATTAATAGTAGTAAGTGAGAGAACCTATGTGTATCAGTTTGATATGAACACATCTGTGTCAGAGCCCTATGTCTGGCCTTGCTGGCTGCTGTGGTGGGACCCCTGTTTCAGAATAGACTGTGTAACCTTTCAAAACCACTGTATATGCATCCTTTAGGCCACCAAGTAAGGAGCAGTGCCTCACAATGACAGGAATGACATTCACATTGGTATTATCTCAAGTTATCTGCATATAAGTTTAAAATACACAGCCATAATCCAATTTCTTTTCTTTTTCTCCACATCCATACTGGGAATTGAACCCATGGTACTCTACCACTCAGCTACATATCCAGCCCTTTTTATTTTGTATTTTGAGACAAGGTCTCGCTAAGTTGCCCAGGCTGTCCCCGAACTTGTGATCCTCCTGCCTCAGCCTCCTGAGTTGCTGGGATTACAGATATGCACCACTGCACCTGGTGGCAGCAGCAGCTCTTCTTCTCCCCCCCCCCCCCCGTCCTCTGTCTCCTCCTCCTCCCTCCTTCTTCCTCTGCCAGTCCAAGTTTAACTGTTCAGGAGATTTGACTTTTGTGGATTAAAATGTTGATCAAGGTAATATGTGGCTATAGCATTTTAGCTTTAGGGTTCATGGACAAGTATCAAGAGGAAAAACTAATGCAGACTGTATTCTTTTACTCACTTAAATAATTCTCCTTATTGCCCCCATTTCCCTTCTTTTCTTCCTTGCTTGCTCTGACTTGTATCTTGTGGGGCTGACTGACAGTGAGATCAGTCTAAGGTAGGTATTGAGGAAGGCTGGCTAGATTAGGATCAATCTGACAAAGACCAACAGAAACAAAGAGTAATGATGAGAAGGCAAGGCTGAATTAAATTGTTTTTACTGAATTACCCTTGTCTATATATTAGTATACCTTAAATTTCCAATATAAAAGTTTAATAGTCTTCAGTAAATACAATGAAATTAGTAGCTTTTGTGTGGTCCTTGTGAAAGCACCAGTGATATTTGGTGTATTATGCAATACTTAATAAATGTTGTCTACAATCATTCCTCCCTATCCATGGAGGATTAGTTTCAGGTGTCCTTCCCCCATGCCAAAATGTGTGCTTACTCAAGTCCCTCATAGAAAATGGTATAGTATTTGCTTATCATCTATGCACATCTGCCCATATACTTTGAATCATTTCTAGGTTACTTATAGTACGTAATACAACACAAACGCTATGTAAATAGTTGTTATACCATATTGTTTTAGGAATAAAATAGACAAAAATAATCTGTACCTGTTTAGTACAAATGCAGGTTTTTTTTCCCCCCTCTGAATACTTTTGGTCAGCTATTGGTTGAATCTGAATATGGAACTTAGGGACATGGAGAGCTGAATCTTACAGGGCTAATGTGCAGTGTCCATCCTGGCTGTTTGTAGTAGATGAATCTGGGAAGGTTCTACAGGTTTGTACTAAAAGGAAGAGAAACACATGTGCTTATTTGTTTTAATCAGTATTTACAGGTGTGGTATCTGGCTTGTCTTTTTTATTAGGGAGAGACAAAAATGGTTAGTGAAGTAACATTGAAGATATGTTTTTTCCCTTGGTACCAAAACTTTTACTTTCATACTTGTGTTTGCACACACATAATGACTATCCAAATTCCAGTAGCAGCAATGGCTAGAATTAGAATTCATCAAGTGGAGAATGTATAAAATACTTCTATAAAATAATAATCTATTTAGTCTTATCCAGCCTTGGGCTTTTGTCTAATGGGGCATAAGCAGTATGTATAGTCCTACCAATCTATGATACCTACATAGACTTGTCTCCCATGTTTGCTTGTTAGCGGGAAAGAAAATGGATACATTTCACATTGGTAATATGTTGACTTTTTGAGTCATTTGTAAGTCAAGTAGTTCAGTATTCCAAATAAGTGAATACTAATTTCCTTTCTAGTGTCTGTGGCCAAAGGCAAATACCATAATTATGTTTCAGTAAAAGGTTGAGGGACTCTTTCTTGCTTATTTGATCAACTTAAAATTTTCTCACAGCCACTGTTGGTTGTTCAAGGCTCAGTGTTGCACATGTACCAAAAAACAGGATGTTGCAGTGAGCTCTGAGTCCTTTATTTCTCAAATAGACACAGTATAGTAGGGGTCTTGGGTCTTCTTCTTCTTGTTCATTGTTTTACTTTATTCCTTCATACTCTGCCACTTTTTCTTATACTTTACCCTTTTTTTTATTTGCTTCTTCCTACCACATGTATTTATTTCTTCTCTGCTTTTTGCCGCTGTTGAACCGAAAACTGGGACCTAATAAGGCAAAAGAATACCTTTGCAAGCAGTGTATTTCTTCAGATACTAATGGGAAATAAAATTCTATTTTACTCTGTAAAATTTAGTTTCATCATAGAACAAATTATGCTCCTCCAGTACTAAATCACTGAATTTCTTCTTGGTACCTTCACAACTACCAATGAAAGCTACTTGCTGCAATGACCCAAATTTTCCTATTTTCTATTTATGTTGTGGGTCCTTCATTATTTCAGCAGTGACCTCAGGCAAGATTCTGAGTCATTAATGGGTTGTAGACTATGAAGGAGCTAAACTCACATGAATTTTCAGACATTGTGACCTTAGGGTTTCCTATGGCCTGTTCTTGCCCCTACTCTACAGCAGTGTCACCTACTCAATCTTTCAACAGTGACTGAGCTCTCCACCTAGTGGTGGTAATTTCATTAGGAAAAGTGAGAGCTGCTCTTTTGAGAAGTTGCTTTCAAAAGAAAGAACGAGGTCTTTCTGTACATGGCTTTCTATTTTCACAATACAGTTATTGACATTATTTAAACTCTGATTTTCTATAGTTAATAAGAAAAGTCCTAACATTGCTCCTTATTTTCTCACAAATTTTGGGGGCTTCGCCTTATAATTGCCAAGATGTCTTAATCATTTCCTAATTATTTGAATGTTTTTATCAATGCTTCTGAAAAATTTTTAAAGCAAGTAAAGGGCATGGGTACCACTTATTTTCAATGGAAAAGGAACTGCTTTTTTTTCTGTGGAAATGAAATGTTCCCTACGTGGAAAGTTCTGAGTTTAGGAGAGACCTGGTGGAGTCTCTGTCTCAAGGCACTAAGACAGAAGGAGGGTGTGAAGACCCTGTACTTTGCAAAGGTCAGTGGAAAGGAGAGTGTGGAACTGCAGGGCCAAGGGGAAAATCTCTTAGGGGCCAGGGTAAAAAGACCCTTTCTCACGTAGGAAAAGGCAGATTTGGAGAAAAATTTGGGGACATGGATATTCTCTTTAGAAGGCAGTTGCCAGCTATTCAGAGGAAGTTAAGGAAGTCATCTCCTATGAAAGACACCTGAAATCTGAGGAAGACTTCTGGCTGCCATCAGGAGAGTCTTTTGGTATTTATATCAGAGGCAGAGACAGCTGCCCCACTAGAAGGTTTCTCTGACTCTTGTCAGTGCCTTCATTATGCTAATGCCAGTAAAGAGCCTAGGTAGGAAAGAGAGAAAGAGCTCTGTCTGCCTTTTAGGAAGTTAGTATTATATTAGGGAACATTCAAATATGAACACAGAAGGTGTGTATCAGTAATTCAGAGTCAAACTAAAAGACCTAGGAGAGCAGTTCCTAGATATGACCTAGAAGAGGGCAGAGGACGGGCCATCTCTGGTGAATAGGAAAGAAAAAGCTTTGTATTTTAAACTTTAGGATGAATCAGACATTTCAGGATTAAATTCTAATGTGATGCTGACGTGTTCCTTAAAATAGGAAAAGCCTCATTTTGATAAAAGTAATAGTTTTAAAACTTCAAAGTTTCTCTTACTTCTGAAGACATGGAGTTTAGAAATGTTTGGGGCTTTCTCCAGATCTTTGTGTACCTTCTAATTCAGTTAATCTTCTTGGTGTTAATTTTTTTTCCTTGTTGAGCTATTATTTATATTTGTGAGATTAAAAAAATAAAGACTATCTTATTTTTTAAAATGAACTTATGAAAGCTGTGAATTAAGAATTTATCACGCCTTGAAGTATTAAATAAAATGGCAAGAATTACTTTTTTATTTTAACATGTAATGAAATTGTGTTATTGGCACATCAAAGGGATAGATACCTATAAATAAAATATGAATATATTTTCTTACTATCCAAGACATACATAATATTTCAAAGAGGCTGGAAATGAGGGAAATTTTCTTTTTCTCCAAACAAAAATAGCTAATTTTTATATCACCACCTTGCAGGGCATGCTGAGGCTTTGAACAAGTCTGATTTGTTTTTATCATCTGTAGAACACTTTGACATACATTACTACATTTGATCCCTTTAACTGCCTTATCAGGTAGACACAGGAGGATTATAATCACCATTTTACAGATGAGAAAGGTGAGACCCTTGATTCAATGACTAGCCAAAGGATCCAACCCTAGTAAGCAGCAAATCCAGGCTGGGAACCACAGTGTGTGTTTTTCTGATTCTCATTTTGTAGCTCACTTGTCTGCACTGAACTGGTTTATTTCTAAGACGATATCTAAAAACCCTCAGATAACACAGACTTTACTTGTGCAGTTCTCAGTTGCATAAGACCCAGGGTACTTAATATGTCTTTAAAAAGTGAGTTATTTTTCAAGATACAATTCTGTAATATTCTAATTAAAAAAAATACTTTTGCAGTTGGATGTGAACAATATTTTGTGATAATATGGTACAGATGATGAGATATGATGTCACTAGGAAAGGAAGTCACTTTGAGGTCTTCTTGCTTTTAAGCAGCCCAAATTAGTCCACACAGCAAAAGAGACTAATTTCTTTCTTAATTGTTAAACAATTCTCATCAAATTAAGACTAGAATTTTCATCATCAAATATAATTTTGGAACAATCCTTGCTAAAATCAGTATTTAGGATGGCTTTTTATAATTCTCTATTATTTTTACTGACAAATGTGTTAGTAATGTGAAGCCAAATTATAGACTTGTGTAAGGATTTTGTAGCATATCTATGTATATGTGTATATATAATTATTTTCCTCCTCACTGTTCTTCCCCAACTCATAGGGCTATATTATTTACCCACTTAAGAAAATTTTACACTTTTTTCTCAGTAGCATTGGCAATTGGGCATAAATCTCCCCTGTCCTCAGCAACTTAGCAAGGCTGTAAGCAATTTAGCAAGACAGTATCTCAAAATAAAAATTAAAAAGGCCTGGGGATGTGCTCAGTGGTTAAGCACCCTAGGTTCAATCCCCAGTACAAAGAAAAGAAAAAAATGTCCCCCATCATCTAGTGTGGCTGTGCACAGCATCCTTTTTTTTCTCTGTCAAGTTCATTCAGATTTCCCCCTCTTGATAGGTAATATTTGTGTAATAAGAAACTTTGTTTTTTTTTTCACATTCATCATAATCATTTGAAGATCAATTAATTTTTATAATTTTTTTCTAGATTGAAATTGGAAGAGAGAAGAAAAGAACTGCTACAGAAACTTGAAGAAACTACTAAATTAACTACTTACTTGCATTCACAACTTAAAAGGTAAGCCCATTAGATCCTCAAAGGGAAATTTTTTCCCTATCTTTCAGACACATTCTGGTTCATCTTTGGTTAGTTTATACTTTATTTTAAGCTATTTAAAAGTAAGTAGGTACATGAGTAAAATTAATGTGTGAGTGACCAAATTTAAAGTTATAGATTTTTTTTTCATGACTCCCAAGGTCATATTTGGCATACATTTGAAATATGTTGTAGGAAGAAGATTTTAGCCCTCAATGAAAACTTCGGAAAATGGAACATTTCTCCTATTATCTCATCTTTTAAAAAATGAGGGTAGGAGAGATTTACCTTAAAATTGCCATAGATTTTCTTATATTGGTTAGAAAAATACTCACTTTTATATTCACCCACAGAAAATGGGAAAGGCAAATGAACCCAGGGGCTTGCTTTTTTTTTAAACCACTAAGCATCATCACTAGCCCTTTTTATTTTTTATTTTGTGAAATGGTCTTACTACATTGTGTAGGACCTCACTGTGTTGCTGGGGCTTGCTTCAAACTTGTGATCCTCCTGCCTCAGTCTCCCAAAACCATTGGGATTACAGGAGTGTGCCACCAAGCCTAGCCCAGAGACCTTATGTGTAAGCACTCAAGTTTTATAAGCTTGCCTTTTTTTCTCTAAAAATAAGGTTTAAAAAACCTAACAACATAGCCATATTAATACTTTGTCCTGGTCATCCCTGCACCCCCCTTATATTTTAATTATAGGATTGCTTCTGTATAGCTATGCAAGGAGAATTCCAAGAAACTCTTTGGCATATTTTTTAACTTTTATAAAATGAGGATAATTTTTTCTAAGATAGAATTGTTGCTTAAAGAGTATTTGGAGAGCAAGTTAGAAATTATTAGTGAATAATCAGGGAAATGCTATGATGGCATATCCCTTGGCCCTGGTCATATATTCCATTCTTTGGCACCACCTGTTTCCTTCCAGTTTGGGATCTGAAGTCACCAGTAGGGGTTATGATTGGTTTTTCCACATAGTGACAGATTTTACAGTGTGCTTTTCTTCTTTTAGCCTCTCTGCCAGCACGTTGTCCATGTCATCTGGGAGCAGCCTGGGTTCCTTGGCATCCAGTCGGGGCTCGCTGAACACCTCCAGCAGAGGGTCTCTCAACTCCCTCAGTTCCAGTGAGCTCTACTTCAGCAGTCAGGGTGATCAGATAGATGTGGATTATCAGTATAAACTGGACTTCCTTCTCCAAGAGAAGAGTGGTTACATTCCTTCCGGACCTATCACTACCATCCATGAAAATGAGGTGGCCAAGTCCCCCAGTCAGCCTGGCCCAAGTGGACTCTGTGGGGTGGCAGCTGCAGCAGCTGGCCACACTCCCACCCTGACTGAGGCCCCCAAGTCTGTGACATCCCTATCTTCAAGGTCCTCCCTTTCTTCCTTGTCGCCTCCTGGCTCTCCTTTGGTCTTGGAAGGCACTTTTCCCATGTCTTCTCATGACTCCTCTCTTCATCAGTTCACTGCTGACTTTGAAGACTGTGAATTGAGTAGCCATTTTGAAGACATTAGCCTTGGTGAAAATCCCATACTGCTCGATTCAGATTCAGTAGGAGCATCCCAGTCTCTTTTAGAGGACAAAGACCTTAATGACTGTGCTGGGGAGCCATTATATGAAGGAACTACAGGTAAATGGAAACCTTTGTTTTTTATGCATTCCCTCTAAAGGATTTTAAGGGCATTGGGTTGGAAGGTTACTTTTTCCACATAGACAAATGGTATAGTCTCCCCTTTTTTCTCCTAAATATTTATTTCAGCTTTATTTAGGAAGGAACCTTTATTTATATACCCAGACATTTTCTTTGTCAAACTGTCTTCTCTATTTAATAGATTTAATCATTAAGTACTTGTTTTGTGGTCCAGAGACCCTCTATGTGTGGTACCTGGCTAGACCTTATTTTGTAAACATACTTTATGCTTCTAAACAGATGCCAGTTCTAAAATACTAAGGCAAAGAAGAGGGCTTTCTTCTAAATTTTGGCGTAAAACAGATTAAAATCAAGTCAATTAGCATACAAGCTAATTAGTACAAAGGTTCACTGTTTAGATTGCTCAGGGAATTCTATATAAATACAATTTTATTTTATGCCAGACTCTCCCTTTCTGCCAAAAGTTAATTTGAAGAAGTAGTCTCCAGTATATGGTATTACCCTGCCATCTTCTGGCTGCTGTGACAGTTGCAGCCCGAGGAAGAGGCTGTAAGAAGTAGACTCCTGCCTGTGTGTTCAAAGAGACCAACGAGAAGAATCTCATTTTATTGATTGTTTTGCTCTATGTGACAGAAATATTTAATATGTTAGGTACAGTTAGTGCCATTGTTGGCACATGATCTCTAGTGTGATCCAAAAAGGATAATCTGTTCTAGAGCCAGCTTGAGGCAAAATGGGAAATCAAAGCTCTGGTCCTTCTCTATGGGCATCCTGGTCAGACTGACCTGAGTTGCTGTGCCCCACCACACAGAAGAGGACAGGCCTCTAAACCAACTGCTTTCGTGCTGTTTTGAGAAGCATTTTTATTTATGTATATGGTCCTGGGAGTTCTGAGTACTAATTGATTGGATAGTTCACATGTTTAAAGACTAGATTGAAATGCTGTGTCCTGCCAGCAGCCTGGGCAGAGGTGGAACATTCTTGTGGTTTGTGTGCCTCCTCTTAGAGAAACATCAGACAAGTAACATTATAGAAATAATCAGCCACAAAGGAAAACAAGCACAGGCGTGATGTGTACATAGTGGCTCCACAAAAGCAGAAAGCCACCATGGGCCTCGCCCTGCCTCTGTGAAGGTGTACAGTGGATGGCGGGTTGCGTTCTGTCCCATGCCTTTACTCACACTTTGAATTTATTTCCGTGAGCATGTTACCTTGTCTCTCAGGTCTGTTTCTCGTCTGCAAAGTCGGGATGATACGGTTATACTTGTAGCACTGAAGAAGATTAATGCCATGATGTGTGGAAAACATCCTAGCACGTCTTATAATTGTGTGATAGTGATAAGTAACAGTGCCCACCAAACCAGTTCCTACCACGTGTCATTGCAAGTTAAGGGAGGAAGAAAGAATGGGGAAAGAGTAGAGAGCCAGCATTCTGTACCATTCTTCTTGCTTTAGACTTTCAGGATCTTACATGTCTTGAGCATCTCAAGCTTCTTTGTCCTTCATGTATTTGGAGTATTCTCTAGTGACCACTTATCATCATCTCATCAAGTGGAAGGCCCTGTATGTGGAGTTGAATGCTGGAAAAGAGGAAGGCTTGGGAAAAATTCCCCAAAGATTGTTACCCACCTAGTGATCTCAAGGTCCCAGGCACCAGTCCTGGAAGCATCTGCTTGGCTGGTGTCTTGCTCTTGGCCCTTATGTCTGCAACTGTGACTATCAGTGGGCTTGTGGCTGGCAATGGGTGTCTGTGATAATTTTTAAATTTTTTAAATGTTGAAAAATGTTGTTAAAAAGTCATCATAGGGCCGGGTACAGTGGCTCATGCCTGTAATCCCAGTGGCTTGGGAGGCTGAATCAGGAGGATCGCAATTAAAAGCCAGCCTCAGAAAAGTGAGGTGCTAAGCAATTTAGTGAGACCCTACCTGTAAATGAAATACAAAAATAGGCCTGGGGATGTGACTTAGTGGTCAAGTGCCCCTGAGTTCAATCCCTGGTACCACCCCTGCCCACTCCCACCCCCCTGCCCAAAGTCACCATAGGGTAAGGATATAGCTCAGTGGCAGAGTGCTTGCCAGCATGTGCAAGGCCCTAGTTTTGATCCCCAGAACCATTAAAAAAAAAAGTCACCCTGAAAAAAACTACACCCAGGACCTTTGCAGATAACATTCAGTTTCATGTCTGAAAACAACTAAAAGAATATGTATAAGTGTAAAGACTAATTCTCTTGAGGTCATCAGTGCTTGGTCTATTCAGAGGACATCTACTCTTCCCTTGAGGGAGGGTGACTCCTTGAAAGGGACACTGATTATTTCCTATGCTCTGGAGTTTTATGCAGGTGAAGTCAAGTCCCTTTTATGTAAACTTTGCTCCCCAGCACCAATCCCTGCTGGATGACAGAAACCAAGTTGGAATAACTATGAAGTCTTTCCACAGTCAGTCTCTGTCATTGTCAAAGTCAATTTCAGGCTGCTGTGGTTATTCCTGGGGGTAATCAATAAATCATGTCATCACCTTCACCCCTCACAAAGGGGGGTGGGCGGAGAGAAGGCACTTCATCATCAAGGAAAGAGCATTCCCACTGCCAGAAATAAAAGGGGAAATGCAGCAATCAATCCTGTAATCTGAAGCCTTAAAACTTAAACATCTTAACAAGATGTAAAGTCACGACTCAGAAGGGGGCCGAAATGCATACCAATACAGATCCACTGGCTTGCTCACTCGAGGATGAAAGAACTCTGCAGGCTTGCAGCTTATTACAGTACAGAACACAGCTTTAAATGAATGTTCCTTGCTCACTGCAGGACGCTGCTGTATGAATATGAGTTAGAGATAAAAGTTAAGTGGTAGTTGGTGCTGAAGATTCAGTAGCACAAAAAGTTTTTTAGTGGTATTAGCTGGTGAGGAATTCCTATAAGTCAAAGATGTCTTCTCCTTAATTTCTGTTAGAATAGTACCATAGGAGACAGAGAATATGGCATGTGTAGAGGAGAGAGCAAAGAGGTAGAAACGTTTCTTTCCACTGAGTAGTCAGAAGCTCTCTAAATAGAAATATCTCCCAATACTTGAGGGAGGCACAGAGCTTTTTATCCTAAGCATATTATAATTGTGAATGCTTGAAGAAAGAGGTTGGAGAGTCAGAATATGTGCATCCCTTGCCTTAAAATATTTTAGGAAAACAAAAGACCATATTCATTTCCAAATAACAACTGAAGGAACTGGTATTGCAGAAATCTTACGAGTCACAGTGCTTTGACTTGTCCACATCTGTTGATTTGAAGAGTAACATCCTTGACTCTCAGAAGGATATTGTATGTTGGCTTTATCATGCTCAAACTTCGTGTGTATTTTATATTTGATTTTTCCTAATAAGAAATCCTAATTTTCTAATAAGAAATTTCCCCTCCTTAGATGTGGAAAAATCATTACCAAAAAGAAGAGTAATTCACTTGCCTGGGGAGAAAACTGCTTGTGTGTCGGCTGCCGTGTCTGATGAGTCTGTGGCTGGAGACAGTGGGGTCTACGAAGCCTCCATGAAACAGTAAGGACCCCGCAGGCGTGTTTTCTGGCTTCTCCACGTCTCCTCTGTAGCAGAGCCTGTGTTTTCCAAAGTGCAAATATGCTGCCACTATTAGTGCACCCTTCAGAGTAGTAAAGAAATAGTGTGCCGGCCAGGCCTGGTGGCGCATACCTGTAATCCCTGTGGCTCAGGAGGCTGAGGCAGGAGGATTACAAGTTTGAGACCAACCCTAGCAACTTAACAAGGCCCTAAGGACTTAGTAAGACCCTGTCTCAAAATAAAACATAAAAAGGAGACTGGGGTTGTTTCTCAGTGGTAAAAGAAATAGTGTACCTGAAAATTCCCAATGTATCAGAAATATCCCTTCAGCCTCGGAAATGATAAGCAGATTAGTGTACTTATACGTACTTGACCTTCTATAAGACCTAAAAAGTTTATTTTAGTAGGAATGTTAGAGTAATTCACATGTCAAATGCCTGTTTGACATGTGAAGCTTGTGTGAATTTCTGGAAACCTGGGATTTTTATGGGGGGTATGGTGTAGCTAGTAGGGCTCAGAAAAGTGAGATGTCAGCACATCTGTTCCCTAAGTTCCCAGGCAGACTCTTCTTGAAGAGGCCAAGAAAGCTTGGGGCTGGGGATGTGGCTCAAGCGGTAGCGCGCTTGCCTAGCATGCGTGCGGCCCGGGTTCGATCCTCAGCACCACATACCAACAAAAATGTTGTGTCCACTGAGAACTAAAATAATAAATATTTAAAAAAATTCTCTCTCTCTCTCTCTCTCAAAAAAAAAAAATTTTTTTTAAAAAAACCATGCTAGAGCATGTAAAAAAAAAAAAAAAAAAAAGAAAGAAAGCTTCTGAAACAGTAAGCTGGGATCAGTTCTCCTGGGGAGTTATCACTGTTTGGTTTTCATTCAAAATAATTGAGTGGCAAACAGCAACCATAACAATCGACCTCCTCCAATAATTGACTGCTCACCTCCCATCCTTAGGCCTAGTGAAATCGAAGATGTTCCATTCAGTGAAGAGGATGTTGCCACTGTGGAGACAGCCCAGGTGCAGATAGGACTCAGGTAAAACTGTGTACACAGGGGAAGGGCAGTTCTAGAAGTCTATGCAAGGACTGGTGGTCTGCGGTTACTCTTTATTTCATTCAGCTTCTCTTTCGACAGATATGATGCAAAAAGTTCAAGTTTCATGGTGATTATAGCACAACTACGAAATCTTCATGCCTTCTTGATACCTCATACTTCGAAGGTGTAAGTAAAGTCAGTGAAAAACAAACTGAGAAGCTTAAGAATTTCTACATTTTGATCATTTTACATTGTAATCAATCAGTTCATCAAAATGAAGATATGGAAAAGACATAGCAAGACTGGTCATGTCTAAATCAACAGTAGACAAATGTGAAGAGAAAAGGAAAATGTGAGAAAAGCAAATGGAGTTTTAGTCTTTATTCAACCAATTCCTCATTGAGAATAGAAATCAATATATTTTCTTTTTTGAGCAGAAATCCTGTGTTATTTGTGTTGGGGCATGTTGTTTGAAATATAATTAAAAATTTTATTATTGTCTAATAGTTATTACTGTTGGTTTGAAGGAATTTTCTGATCTTTTACGTGAAAATTTAGTGATTAAATTTTATTATCCTAGTACAACATTGCCCCTCACATATTTATCAAGCTGTATCATCCAACATTCACTTCATTTTTATTTCACATTCTTTTTTTTCAAATATATATTTCTTTAGTTGTAGTTGCACATAATACCTTTATTTATATGTGGTTCTGAGGATCGAACTCGGGGCCTCACACGTGCTAGGCGAGTGTTCTACCACTGAGCCCCAGCCCTTCACATTTCGTTTTTTTATCATCCAACATTCACTTCCCTCTGACCAACAATTTCTTAAAGTTATTTCATCAAACTAAGAATCTTAACAAAGTGATGGCATAATGTTGTCTAGCCCACTACTTTGGGACTGTTTTCTAACAGGTTTTTCTGGCAGTCTCTACCACCATTCACACTTTTATAGAGTCATAGTCTCAGTGACTCTCTTAAGGGCTCTCTGATTTAGAATACAGAGCATGTATGTCCACCTTACCTTTAAACTTCTTGTAGGAGGTGACTCTTAGTATCCAACAAGGCAGTACAAGGGCTTGGACAAAACAAAAAAGGCTATTGGAGAAAATTTTTAAAAAGATTATACCCAGCCAATGAATGTTTTCCTTAATAATAGCATATATTCCTTAATGAGCAGGATTTTTAACAGAGTAAGAGTTCTGGATGTTTTCCCTACAGGTTTCGTTTTAAGCTCACATCCTCATATTTAAGAATTGCTAAAGAAAACAAATTGTATGCAAGAAAAAAAAAAAGAGCTAGGTTGAGGTTATTTAGTAGACAACAAAAAATAGAATGAGAGGTTATGTTTACAATCATCAAAGCTGCATAGGATTCAGGAGGGGAGGCTCAGGACTTCCTGAAATCAAGGAATAGGGGACCAACATCATTAACAAGATCAACCAAGAGAGACAGCATAATCTAGCACTGGTGACATAGATTACCACGTGGGCCTGTTTCCCAGGCCTGAGGTTAAAAGTATCAGTTGGCTATTTTCAGTGAAGACTGGCTTGATAATTTTGGCTTCTCCCTTCTAATATATGTGTTTCATATCTTGGGGTGTGCTATTGGTGGCCTTTAGGCAGATCAGGGAGAAGACAGTTCTACCAGAGTTGGGCTTCAAACAGCACCAATTCACAAATACAGAAGAAAAGTACAGAATGTCCAAGAATATGTACTGTCTTTAAACTTACATCATTTACATCTACCCAAATGTTCTAGCTCTTCTAGACCAATCACAGTCATTCTCACCTTGGAGGATAGTCAAAAAGTGCTTTCTGGATGTATGATGACCCAGAGCCAGTCACTGAGGGCATTAGTAGTATTCATCCAACTGGTGAGAGTATAGAAGGTACCTTTGTCTTATTGGTGTGAGCTTTCCTCAGATACATAGCAGCATTATCTTAAACCCATATATAAAAAGCTTGGCCTAAATAACGACACTGCTAAAAATGACAGTTAGTTTGAAATATTCTTAAATGTTCTTTTTCTCCTAACTTCAGAGCTTAATTTTTTATTATTAATTATGACAAGAGTTTTTGCTTCGGTGTGTTGCCCCAGTGTTTCCATGAGTCAGTCATGATTTGCCAGGCTGTGGTTTGGCAAGACCTTCCCTACAGCAGAGCTGGGGGAAAAGCACCTCTGCCTGCTTTCTCCATGCCTTAATGTCCAAACTACATAAAATCATTCTTGTTTGATGTGAAAACATTTTGAGATGAGTTAAGTGGTTAGGCCATTGACAGAAAACTTGAAGACTGGAGAAACAGAAAAATCCCTTCCCTCCATTCTGACTATTTAATATACTGGCTTCTTATTGTTTTTCCATGAAGGCAGAGAAAAAATATTGTTTCTGCTGAAACTCCAACCTTCCAAGAAGGATGAGTTGTGTCTTAGGCCTTAAATCAACAGCAGTGGCCCAAGACTCACAAGGTGTTTAATGCTGAATCTTCATAATAAATGTTGGTATAAAATAAAAAATAATATGGCACTCTTCAGTTCTGCATTTGAATTTACAATTTTTTTAATTAGAGAAAGGCATGTTTTAGAATATGCATTAGATACGACTAGAAATGGGGACAGGAGAAGATTTAGTAGATATTCTCTTTCTGGGATTAAAAGGAAAATATCTCTTGCTATTTCCAATAATGGTGAACCCTGTGCTCAGAAAATTCACTCTAAAGTAGCATTAGAAACTACTGTTTTTCTGTAACTCTTCCTTTGAATCTGAAGCTTTGGAGATGCTAGACATTGGTATTTTTGAACTGCTGTTTCATCTGTTTTAAATTTTATTAACAGTATGCTACTTTGCCTCTCTTTTTGTCTAGTAGGATAATGTATTCCATTCATGGGAAGTCATCATCAGCATCTCTTTTTTAACACTCAGGATGAGGATTCTTTGGGATAAAGTCACCAGTATCTACTTAGGGTATTCCCACCTTCCAAGACATAGAAATAACTTATTTTGGAATTGGCTGTACCTGGGGCAGATGGGATGTTAAATTCATCTGCACTCTAAGGCTTTCTTCCTCTTCGCTTTCCTATCATGTGCCTTTGTTGCAGTCCTGCGGTGAGTGGCAGGCTGGCCCTTTGCGTGCTCAGGGGTACAGTTAGCAAATAGGTTAAGAATAGAGTGTCTTTGCAGCTGAGCACAGACCCATTATGGCAGCAGCACTTTTGGTTGATAATGAACTCCATATTCCCTCAATTTCTCTGTTTTGCAGATAATTGCAAATGATAGCTGTGAATCCACTGTAATCGAAGTACCTATGAATTTCATTTTATTCTTGTTCTTTGCAGGTATTTTAGGGTTGCTCTTCTTCCCTCCTCAACTGATGTCAGCTGTCTATTTCGAACAAAAGTCCATCCACCCACAGAATCTGTGCTGTTCAATGATGTGTTCAGAGTAGCCATTTCCCAAACAGCTTTGCAGCAGAAGACGTTAAGAGTTGATCTTTGCTCTGTCAGTAAACACCACAGGGAAGAATGCTTGGTAGGATTCTTAATAATTACCATTATCAACTAACACAACCAGATATTCTTAGAATATGCTTTCTAGTTGCTGTTCTGCCAGCAACTAGACTAAATGACTGTAGACCTGTCTAACACCTTGGGACACGTCCAGTGGCTGTTTCTTTTCTTTTTTTTTTTCCCCTGAAATATTGATTTTTGTTCTTACCTTTATTTTAGACCTTTAAAATCTGTTTATCAGTTATGATTTTCGGTAAAGCTCTACTTTCCATTTCTGCTTTGACTAAACAAAAACTTTTACCTCTATTATGACCAGAACTTACTGTGTATGCTTTTAGTCCCATTGCCAAGACCTGTGCTGAATACCGTGTGTTATCTCCTTTAATCCCTATGACAGTCTTAGGAAAGATGGATTATGGAAGGTGTGATCATCTCCTATTTTCAGATAAAGAGCTGCTTAGAGAGGGTTTCACACCTAGTGAATGATGGAACCAGATATCAAAGAGACAGCCCACACATAATTCACTGTTACAAATTCAATAAGCAAGACACTGAAAATATATTCAGCTCAGTTTCCCCTGCCATGATATTAGAGCTTCTAAAGAAAAAGTGTAACTGTTTAGAACAAAATGTTTAAATGCTATAGCAAAAGATTCCATACTTAACTAATAGTACGTTTAATATATTGCTGTGCACAAAACCTGTAAAACCATCACTTACTGGTAAGGCTGGTGTTTAGAGGTGGGCCTGTGTGGTCAAAAACTATGAAAATGTCCAGCTGAGCTTTTCTCTGTGGTATAATAGGAAGCACACACATTTCATGATGAACAAAGCTAATTGTGATAATCTTAATTTTTACTTGAAAAAAAAATGTTTGATACTATTTTCTGGCAATAAAGCAAAGATGGATGTATTAGGCTATCAGAAAGGCTTTGGTATAATGTCATATTTATATATGTCAGAAGCTCTATTAAGTTAATAATGGGGATAGCCTTTTAAAAAATAATATAGTTGGATTTAGATTATGGCTATTTGTGATTTGGTAGAATATGAAAACCTTTAACCTTTACTGTTTTGGGGTTTTTTTTGTTTTGTTTTGCTTTGTTTTTTGACATTCTGCCAACTTATATATCCAAAGAAATTTTTTTTACTGATTTCTCATTAAAGAACCAACATGGAACTTTTGCTTGTTTTCAGACTTTTCAGTGGATAATTTTATTGTGAGTAATAATGAATTCACTCTTATAGTGTATTATAAGAAGTACCATGGTTTAGACTTATTTATTTATTTATAACTTTTCACTTGCACATAATTCCATATTTACAAAAATTACATACTTAGTCATTAGGTGTTAGCAAAATCATGTCTCAAAAAATAATCCTAGGATTGGCTTTTTAGATTAGAGATTATTATCATAAATCATTTCCAGGTTTTTTCAAAACCCAACACTTTATGAGTATTGCTTTAAAAAAAAAACAAAAAAGAAGACAAGCTCACCCAATGATCTTTATCATATTAGAGAAAACATATACTAATTTAGCATTCTCTCTCTCTCTCTCTCTCTCTCTCTCTCTCTCTCTCTCTCTCTCTCTCTCTTTTCTTTGTTTTCTTTCATTTCCCATAGGCTGGAACTCAGATCAGCCTGGCAGACTTACCATTTTCTAATGAGATTTTCACTCTGTGGTATAATTTGCTTCCTTCCAAGCAAATGCCTTGCAAAAAGAATGAAGAAGAAAATGAGGACTCTGTATTTCAATCAAACCAGCCATTAGTAGATTCAATAGACTTGGTAAGTCAAAATTAGAGAAAAGTCATTAAATGTAATAAAGTAATGTGAAATATGCAAGGAGACCAACAGGTTTTTATCCACTCTCATGGTCCTTCCTTTTAGGATTCTTTTATCCCAACTTCCTAAAAAGAAAGAAAAATGATCACATCTCCTTCCATAAAAATAAACTGATGTGGAGGCTTTATTGTTTTAAATGATTGTGGAAAACCTTTGGATTTAAGTTTATGCTTTTGTATATAGTGTTCACATACTTGGTTCCACTGTCAGCTTATACATTTGACACTCACATATTTTGCAAATTTTAAATTATTAATCTAAAACAATATGTTAATTTTCCATTTATAATATCAATATCCCTAAGTATTTTTCTATCAAAAGGTTTATTGAAACTAATAGTCATATCTTACTGCTTCAAAAATTTATGAAGGGGTACTTTTTGAGGCCATTCATCAATTATCTGGCATTTGTGCATATTGCTACTGAGTTCAAGTTTATTTTAGGTTACCTTCAAAGAAAGAATTCACTAAGTAAAAATCAAATAAGCAAGTATTTATTGATCATCTATTATGTGTGAGAAACTAGTGGACATTGTGGTAGGTGGTAAAAGAGAAACAAACATGGTGTAGATTTTATATTACATGCCCAGGTATGTAGTATACACTAAGTAAGGCATATGAAATGATTTTTATCTTCTTTCTGTAAGTTTTTAAAAACAGAATAAGGTGTAATTCATATACTATACGATTCACCCAATTAACATGTACAATTCACCCACTTAAAGCACAAGGCTTAATGTATTTTTCACTATATTCACAGAGTTGTACAACCATATGTACAATCTAATATTACTACATTGTCATCATCTCAAACAGAAGTTCCATACCCATGAGCAGTCACTCCCAGTTCTCCTGAACACCTTTCTCCCAAATAACCATGAATATTCTTTCTCTATAAATTTTCGTATTCATTTATTATTATACATGAAATAATACCTTATTTGTTGTTATAACTGACTTCTTTTATTTAGCATATTTTCAAAGTACATATGTTAATATTTCATTCCTTTTCATCCCCAAATAATATTCTGTTGCAAATGTACCATGATTTGTATACCATTCATTGGCTGATGTGCATTTGGGTTGTTTACACTTTTTGACTATTATGAACGATGCTGCTAGGAACATTCATACACAAGTGTTTGTGTGGACATATGTTTTCCTTTCTCTTGGGCATACATGTGGAAATGGAATTGCCTTCTTGGATATTATACAATATGTTTTAACATTTTGGGTGACTGCAAGCTGTTTTCTTGGTAGAATGACTTATTTATCTTTTTAGGATTGAATTATATAAGTTCTGTACATATTCTTTCGTCCTTTCCTTTCCTTTCCTTTCTTTCCTTCCCTCTCCCTCTCCCTCTCCCTCTCCCTCAAACTCAGGATTTCAGGCAGTTGCTTCATCTTATGTATTTTTGACTTGACACTCGACACAAGTCATTTATCAGATAAATGATTTACAGACATTTCCTTTTATTCTGTGCATTGTCTTTTCATTCTCTTGATGATTTCATTACTAGCACAAACGTTTTTAATTTTGATTAAAATGTATGCCGTTGGAGCATATGTTTATTCCATTGCTTGTCTTATTGTATAATATCCAAGAAGGCTTTGCCTAATCTGATATCATAAAGATTTCTCCAGTGTCGTCTTCTAAGAGTTTTAAAGACTTTTACGTAGGTTTTGGTTTACTTCTACTTGTTTATATGTGATATTAGGAGAGGGTTCTATTTCATCCTTTTATATGTGGATACACAGTCATCCCAGCACCATTTATTGATTAAAAACTATTCTTTCTCCATTGAATTATCTTGATACCCTTGTGAGAAATCAGTTGATCATAATTATAGGGACCTACATATCTAGAAGCTCAATTCTGTTCCAGTAATCTACATATAAGGCAGTACCACACTTCCTTAATTACTGTAGCATTGCAGTCATTTTGAGAATAGGAATTGTGAGTCTTCCAATATTTTTTTTTTCTTTTTCAATATTGTTTTGAAAAAAATTAACATAAAAAAGATTGTTTGGGTTATTCAGGGTCCCTTGCATTTCCATATGAAATCTAGTATTGGCTTATCAATTTCTGAAAATAAAACAAAACAAAAAGACAGGATTTTGATAAAGCAAGCATTAACTATGTAAGTCAAGTTAGGGAGTATTGTCATCTTAAATTTTAAGATCCTTGCATATGGATTGTCTTTACATTTATTTAAATCTTAACCTAGTTTCTTTCAACAATGTTTTTTAACTTTTGAGTCCAAGTTTTAAAATTTCTCTTGTTAAATTTATTTCTAAGTGTTTTTATTCTTGTAGATGCTATTGTAAATGGAACTCTTAATTGAATTTTCAGAGTGCTCATTGCACAACTGATCTTTATCTTTCATTCTACAACCTTGCTGAATTCATGTATTAGTTCTAATAGTTTTGTGGTGAGTTTCTTAGAATTTTTTATATGTGTGATCATATATTCTGCAACTAGAAATGATTTTAGTGCTTCCTTTCCAATTACGTGCATTTTATTTCTTTTTCTTGCCTATCTGCCTCAGCTAGAATTTCCACCATGGTAATGAAAGAAGTGATGATTGTCTTGTCCCTGATTTAGAAGGGAGGCTTTCATCTTAAGTATGATCTTTTTGCTGTAGGTTTTTCATTGATGCCCTTGACCAGACTGAGAAAGACTTCTTTCCCTAGTTTGTTGAGTGTTTTTAACATTAAAGTCTATTGGATTTATCAAATGCTTTTTCTACATCTGTTAAGATGGTCACGTGTGGTTCTTGTCCTTCATTCATTTTACTTGATTTCTGAAGTGTTAAATTAATCTTGCATTGCTAGGATAAATCCCACTAGGTTGTTGTGTCAATCCTTTTTATGTTATCGGATTCCATTCGCTAGTATTTTGTTGAGGATTTTTTGTCTGTATTCATAGATTTCTTATGATGTCTGTGTGGTTTTGATATCAGGGTGATTCTGGCATCATGGAATGGATTAAGAAGTGTTCCCTCCTTTTCTACTTTTGGAGGTGTTTGAGAAGAATTGGTATTTAAGTGTTTAATAGAATTTACTAGTGAAGCTATCTGGGCTGGGACTTTTCCTTTGTGGGAAGTTTTTGTTCTTGTTGAAATTCTCTCTTTTCTAAGTCTCTCATACTTTGGTTCTTGAGTCAAGTTTTAGTACTTGGGTCTTTAAAGGAATTTGTCTATTTCAGCTAGATTATTTAATTTTTTTCGTATATAATTGTTCATAATATTTTCTCATAATATCTTTCAGTTTGAATTTACATAATTTAAACATTTTTCTCTGTTTATCTTGGTCAGTCAGCTAATGGTTTACTAATTTTTTTTCAATGAACCAGCTTTGGTTTTATTTTCTCTAATTTTGTTCTCAATTTAATGAATGTCCACTTTAATCTTTATTAGTTCCTTTCTTCTGATTGCTTTAGATTTATATTGCCCTTCAAATTTACATTTTCTTAAGGTGAAAAGTTAGTGATTTGATGACTTTCTTCCTTTTTAATATAGGTTCTTAGAGGTATAAATTTACCTTTAAGCACTGCATTAGCAGTATTCCATAAGTTTTGGTGTGATATATTTCAGTTTTCATTCATCTTAAGATGTTTTCTAATTTTGTTTGTTATTTATTCTTTCATCCTTTGGTAGTTTAGGAATGTGTTAGTTTCCACACATTTATTAAGCTAAATGATTTTTGATTTTTTAAAAATTCTTAATTTCACTTCAGTATAGCCAAAAAGCTTAATTGGTATGATTTAAGTCCTTTTAAACTTATTAAACCTAGTTTTATGGCCTAGTATATTCCAGGGAAGGTTTCATACATACTTGAGAGAAGTATTTGTTCCGCTGTTGTTAAGTGGAGTGTTCTATAGATGTTTTGTTAGGTTTAGTTGATTTATAGGGCTGTAATATAAATACATTTTATTGCACTTTTTATTCTAATTCCACTCTCTGATGTGTTTCTTTTTGTGAAAAGAGGTAATGAAGAGGTTCATAACAAGGTGCATAAATCTTATATGAATCTAATGAATTTTCATAAAGCAAACAATGTCTATGTAGTTACTATCCCAAACAATTATAGTATATTGACAGCACTCCAGAATTCTTCCTTGTATTCCATCCTAGGCATTTCCACCTTCCCCTAAAGGTAATTTCTAGTCTGAATTATCACACCAGATATTAGTTTTGTCTGTTGTTGTCATCCAATGTATATATTTTTTTTATCTGGTATCTTGTACTTAACAGTATGTTTCTGAGAGTCATCTATGTTTTTCTGTATAATTACCATTCATTTATGCCCATTCTTAGTTGATAATTTATAATATAATTATATCAATGTATTTATCCCTTCTACTACTGATGGACATTTGAGTTGTTAATAATTTAGGGGTTATTTTTAATAATGCTATAGCATTCTTTTATATATATATATATCTTTTGGTAAAAATACTCTTATTTTAGTTATTTTGGTAGGTGTATCTTGTATATCTAATTTGAATTCTCTGATTATAATATGCTTAATTGCTAAATGAATATCATCTTTTGTGAAGTATCTGTTCAGAATTTTATCCATTTTTTAATTGTATTGTCTTATGGTTGGAAGGAGTTCTTGGAATTTTCAGTATATGAGTATTTTAAAATTAATTGATCACGAATATCTTGAATTCTGTGGCTTGCCTTTTCATTTTCTTAGTGGTGTCCCTTGGTGAATGGAAATATTGTTTCAAAGAAGTCTTATTTATCCATTTCCCTGCTATTTAAGAACAATTTGCCTCTACCTGGGTCACAGAGATGTTTTCCTATATTGTCGTATAAAAGCTTTATTATTTTTCTTTCACATTTAGACCTGTAGTCCATCTGAAATTATTTTTTGCATAAAATATGAGGTAAGGGTCAAAGTTCCTTTTTGTCCATATGGTTAATAGAGCATCAT